ATACAACTATATAATAATAAAAAGTGAGATCATTCATATCATCTCAAACAATCCCATGCACTCAACATACCGATTAAAAGAAATATAGGAAAAAGTTGCGCAGTTCGTAATAGTCCAAAGGTGCCTTCCACCTCTCCTGAGGAGGGTAGCACCTTAATGGGAGCACCGCTAAGGAGACCAATATCGTCCAAGGGAGGGGAGGATGGGGGACAAGGTGGATCTGGGCAGCAGCTGTAACAGGGGGAGTCAAGGGGCTAACCATAGTGGGGAAAGTCTGATGGTTAAGTTCAATTCCAGCCATCCCTTTGATGTTATTTCCAGGATAAGTCCTAGGGTGGGGAAAGAGTATCTGTCTCTGATGGAAAAAGACAGGGGGAAGATGTTCTAATCACCAATCACACTCTCCTTCAATTCCGTCCCCTCGAGCAGTTTCCTCCCTCACCAGTTCTCTTCTTTTGGTTACAGCGTGAAGGCAGATATAAAAATGGATAGGTCTTTGATCACACAGTCACAGCCGCTATCTTAACTTTTTTATTCCTCCCTACAGATATATGGGTATACAATTTCTAGGGAGAATTTATTTATTTGTTTTTTTATATCCCTCCGTTATTATTGAGGAATTCATTTTAATTTTGAATGACATACCAAAGGCAACACAGGTAATCCTAAACATACAGCAGTTTATTTCATGAGTGTTCAAACTTACAACAACAAAGTTACAACAGTCACTGAAAAAAAGTGACTTGTGACTATTTTTCACTTTTACAATTATTGCATCCCCATGATGATGTGATCAAAATTCAGGCACTTGGCACTGACTCATATTCATGATGGTTGTAGTGTCCTGGGGTCATGTGAACATCTTTTGCGCCCCTCTTACAAGCAAAGTCAATGGGGAAGCCAGATTCACTTAACAACCATGCTTCTAACTCCAACAGCTGCCGTGATTCACTTAACAACTGTAGTAGGAAATGTCATAAAATGGGGTAAAACTCACTTAACAAGTGCTTCATTTAGCAGCAGAAATTTTGGGCTCAATTCTGGTCATGAGTCGAGAACTACATTACCTGTATGTCAAAAAACTATGGGATTAGGGCAGAAAAAAAGATGGAATCAGAAGAAAATTAAATTTGATTGAATTTATAATCCTGGGCATATTTAAATATAAATCCAAATCAAATTTTAACTGATACAATTGATAAGATTGAATCTCTTCTTGTCTTTCAAAAATTGTCAATTTTGTGACAAATTAGGCCCATAGCCCAGACTTTTAGAAGCATGTGGTCCCAGAGTTTGAAGTTACTATTTATATTTTTGATAATAGATGTGATTCAGAGTGCATTTGTACAGTTCTTAGCAAAAGGAACTAACATAAGCACCAGAGCTAATAAGGCGGGCAAGCGTGAAATCTAATGTGTAGCTGAAAATAATCTCCAGGCATAAATCAAAACAGAACTTAAACATTGTATAAAGAAAAAGAAAAAAGGAATAAAGACCACCATAGATGTTGAGCACATTACCAATAAAATCTGTTTTGGGTTTTTTCATTATTTCTCCTGCTTGCGGTAATCTGGTGATATTGAAGAGTATGTAGTCATCGCTAGAGTCCATATCTGATGCTTGAAGCATTGAACTTTGGATCAGGATCGTTTCTCCTTCATGGACCTCTATTTCAACATTACTAATGAGAAACGGAGGGCTGTCATCTTTGGGCAGAATATTGATTGGAAACCTGTGGCGGCTACTGTGGTGGCCATCAAAGATCCTAAAGACAATGGAGTCTTTAGTGGAATCACTGTCATCATGATGGTAACGAACAACTCCAGTCTTAAGATCCAAGACATTGAACATGAATCCTTTCCCTCCTGTTAGACAATTGAAAGTGAGCAATTCATATTAGAATGTGCTTTGGGAAATGCACTATTTTATAAAGATGGTGCGATAGCTACTGATACAAACACACACAGACACACAGACACATACACACATTCAGAGAACTCTTCTTCTTCCTTCCCAATACCCACCAACATGTTAGCCATTTAGGCAAAATTTACTCCTCCCCCCAATATACAAAGAGTAACACTTTCCATTTCAGCTCATTCTCAGTGGACATTCCAACTATCATCCACTAACAGAAATGCAACAGGAAGTAGGAAATTGAGGCAGAGAACTGAACTGAATTGAAATCTTACACTATGGAGCAGGAAAAAATGTTCAACAACAAAAAAAAAAGTGCTGAAAGGAACAAATAAAAATAAGGCAAGCCTTTTCTGATTTTTGCTCCTTAATCTAATCACAATTTCTTGGGTTGGACTAGAAGACTCCAAAGTCCTTTCCAACTGTGTTGTTCTTTTCTGTTCAATGCAAAACTAGGGGGAAGAAGGAAAGTCTATTTTCAACACTTCACATTTAGGAGGCTATACTAAATGCTGCACATTTTTGTGCACTTTTTCCAATCTTGTTTCACCCACCACATTCAGATCAGAGGGCACAGAAATCACTCAGTTCAGTTAGCAGAATATATAGATGGATGTATGGAAACAGGACAAAAAGCTGGAAAAGAAATGAACAATAGGCAAGAGATAAAAACGGCAGGGAGTTTAGTATGGATAATCTTATTTCAATCAAAAAGTGCAGAATCTTTCAGAATTGCTAGAAGCTGCCTTATAGATAATTAGCGTGGACAGCTCCACAGGAATGGCCCTTTAGTTATTCCAGCTTTAACCCTCTTGTGTCCATAACGACAAAGAACAGAAATGGAAAGTAGGACACAAGGTGATCCTTCCTCTAGTCCAGACAGACCACGAAAGAAACATTTGGGTGAAGAAGGATGATCCAAGAGAAAAATATGCTTTTCATGTTGCAGAGGCTATGCTGAGAACCAAATTGCAATTACTGCAGTCAGACTTTAGAAGGAAGATGGTACCTCTTACAGTAAGCTGCCCATGTTGTAACCCATCCACAGGGACCAAGCGAACTCCACTGATATCATCGTTGTCTACAATCTGAAGCTGCTCCCATGTTATGGGGCGAGACTGACCTTCCAGGAGATCAAGACCTAAAAAAGACAAGAGAAACAATGATACAGCCAGAGTTACTACACTAATATGCATTCAATGTGATAAATATTTAACATGCGAACATAATAGGTACATGTGTATAGGTGTATAACAAAAATATAGGTTATATTTCTATGCATCCAATAATTTTTTATTGGACCTTAAAACAAACATTTATAAACTACTCTTTAAAGATACATTTCTCTGTTTTACATTCCACATCACCTGATTTAATTCTGCTTTATTGCAGAACAGCGGTATCCAATCTTGGCAACTCTAAGACGCATGGACTTCAACTCCCAGAATTAGAAAAATTAGAACTCAGGGCTGCTCTATTCCAAAACCTTAACCACTACACCAAAGTGGATCTTGGATTCTAATGGCATATCAGGAAAAAACCTATTAACATATAGCTTGATAATAAATTAACTCCTCTGAGAGATTATTAGGTCCCTTTTATTGGATATTAGCTCATAACCCGGCACAGCACGGGTATTTATTTATTCCAACCCTCCTTCCATGAATGTTGCCGCAATTTCTAATGTTGGATTTTCCCCTATACAGCACTGTATAGTATGAGCCATTTTAAGGCAGTATGGCAGAAGCCTTTTTAAGGCACAACAGGCTATATCTTAACAGAACACACACCCTGAAGGGTCTTAGGGGTGTCTTACCCCCCACAGTATTTGTTTCCAGAGAGTCATCTGTGGATCAAATTTGGTTGAAATTGCTTGAATTATGTTGGAACATACACACACAGCCATTTTTATATACATAGATCAGGCAAACACTACGCCAGACAATAACAAGAAGTAGGCCAATATGATGCAGCTCCATTAAATGTACATAGAACATTTCTCTCTCATAACTATTTCCTTCTTCTTGCTGCAATCCCTCATAACTATTTCCCTTCAACCTGCTGTCACTCTGGCCAGAAAGAGCTGCTTTTCAATCCCCTTCGGGATTGCCGCAATGGGAGGTTTTATGCTACTAGTGTGGAAAACTCTATTTTCAGGCCAGAAAATCTTGGACCAGCTTCAGTTCACTTCAGTGGCAGTTGCCTACCAAGATGGAGGATCCATTGTGAGGACATGCCCTTAGCAAATGGTCAATGGAGCATATTTGTACCACTTTAAGTACCATGTGCAAATGAATCCTTAGGCATCCATCTGTTATGGATGATTTCCTGTGCTAAGTAAGACGTTACCTTAAACAATTTTTCAACTTGGTGACTGTATGATTTCTTGGGAATACATATTAACATAAAGCAGCAATGAGACTTTCACCCATAGATATTTTCACTCCACTGTATTCAGTGCTAACTCTGTGTTTAAAACTATTTTTTTTCTCTCTGCATAGTTTACTAATCTATCCCAAAGCCAAGAGAGATTAGATCTACTAGAAATCTCCATGGTTTATTTAATTTGAACTTGTAAGCGTTCTTTTGCATTTTAAATCAAAGATATTATGACATTTTAAAAAAATCTCACCCATATTCCATGAAACCCTCGGTGCATTTGTGTCTGCTGTTCTCACAGAGATATAAAGAGTCATTGGCACACTTCTTTCAAAGTACAAATCATAAACTTCAAATTCCACCTATGAAATAAAACAGACACAAACGGTTTACTAAACATTATTTCCCACTCTGCAAGATGTAGGTAGTTCAGAATTTTATCCCCACAGCAGCTAATGGGGTGTTACAGGAATTGCGTAGTCAAGAGAAGAACAAAATGATGTCATCCCATTCACCTTCCTGAAGAAATTACAGCTGAGGCAAATGATTTTGATAATGGAGGCAATCTACAGCAAATATATTTAGTAGCAAGTAAGAGTATTTCCTCTATGAATTTGTCTAATATTTTTTAAGATTACCAAAATTGGTCATGACTCATTATTGCTGGGCTGATTTGAATGTTGATTAGGTGTCAACTGTTAGTGACTGTATACATAAATCTGCTTCAAGAACAGATCTAACAACCGTTAAATAATATTCTAAAGTGACATGATAATTTACAATCAATAATGTTTATGACACCAATAATTTGGGACCAAATTCTTTTGAACAGCAACTTTCAGCATCTCATTTTGAATGGAAGAAAAGAATCTTGTACCTTCATTTTCTTTCTACTCAATTAGCACAATGATTTAAGGCAGGGGTCTCTAAACTTGGCAACTTTGTTTTATTCAACTGGGCTGGGAAATTCTAAGACTTGAAGTTCACAAGTCTTAAAGTTGCCAAGTTTGGAGATTTGGATTTAAGATTTAGTGTGTGAATTATTAATTTTAACTTCCACAAGAGGGAGTAGTGATTTTGTTGCAGACTCAGATGCTGCTGAAGGAAATAATATATCTAGTTTATTGGTTAAAATCGGGGTGGGGGGGGACACCTTACACTGACAGAGTCAGTGCAAAAGACATACATGATGTTCATCTGATTTTTCATAATATGATCATTTAACATTTGTCAACTTAAAAGTCATTGTGAGCAAAAGATAATATGAAATATTTTCTTTGCCTCCTAGTTACCCAGAAACAACAGTACTAATCCTCATAGAATCCTTTTACTGTACATGATACACTATTTACTCAGGAAGAGGGAAGAGTTCATTTATAAAGGAAGATGCCAGACTGAAGCATCAGCTTCCTTTCAATTACCTCATAGTTTCTTCTCTCTGTATGGCTGCTATTTGGAGGTTGATATGCAATCAGCATGTTATCCAGGCTGGTCCAAGTGAAGGATGAGATAGATTTCGTGTGGTCTTGTAGGTGTGTAATGTAACCTTCCTGGGGTGGCTGGGTGATATTAAAGACTAGCAAAGATTTGGATGTTTCACTGTCTTCAGCATCCAATATGGCTGTGGATAGGGGACTCAGGATGAATTGATCTGCTTCTAAGATGAGCATGGCCATGAAGGCAGGTTGGGGGGGCTGGTTAGAAACTGCATTTTTGATCTGAACAGGAATCCAAGCATACTCAGACTGTGGAATAAAAAAAAGAAGCAACAAATTAGATTCCTCCTTTGTGAGAGAGAAAATCCTCATATTTGTAATACTTTTAACATTAAATAATACAAGCCATCTCCAGTTCTGTCCATTGTTCATCCAGTGCACCAATATAATGTTTATTTATAGCAGGTCAAACTGAAGTGAAACAATGAATATCAGCATTGCATATAACACAGTAATATAACAATGAAAGATAATTCTCACAGTCATTGAAAAATAATAAGATAAACAGATCTGACCATTACAGAAACAAAGAGACAGATGGAGACAGGCCCACTGTAAAGAGAAGATCAAGTAGTCCCCTACTTAAAAATAACTTTAAGAGGGTTTAAACAATGTTTCTATATTTAGGGCTTATTCTTTAGTTATGACTGTTTTTCTTTAAATATTATTAATATGCAGTTCTTTCAGTTCTTATGAGCTTAGCTGGTTTATTTCCATCTGTGGAATAAAAACTGACAATAGTAAAAACAAACAAACAACACACACTGATCTCTAGGTTTAAAAAAACCATTTCCATGTTTTCATTGCTGAAAATGTACAGTTATAGAGAGAAGCTGTGTCCCAACAAACCCAGTTAATTGATGCCATATATTTATATTTACTTTGCCATTTAAAAAGTGAGTGGCTAATGATGTTTTATGGTTCACATTAGAGGAAGAAGCTACATAAGGGTCGACAGAGCCAAGAAAGGTATAAAGGGTTTAAATCTAAACTACTAACTGACCATGAGACTTTCCCATCAAAAGATATATATTTTTAAAGGTAAAGATCTTCGCTCTGACTTTTTGCTGTTTCACTAATTAAAACAGGTTTTTTTTTCACAAATAGGCTTATTATTCCAATTAGCTGTTTCATGACAAAACCTTATAATAGTGCCGAGCAGAGGTGGGTTTCATTTACCTTTTCACAAATGCGAGTGCACCTGTACACACTCTCACTTCACTCACAGGCGCCTCATCTGCACATGTGCAGGTGAGCAGAATCATCTGCAGCCACTGCCATCGGTTCGTCCGAACCGGACAGAACCAGCTAAATACCACCTCTGGTACTGAATAGTCTTATGTTCACTCATCTGATCTCTTGCCTGTGCTCTACAAAACTACATGACAAGGAAAGAGAATTGCAGAGTATAGCAAGGCTCAAGAGAAATCAGAGATGCTTCTGGGCTGGACAGAGATAGCCTTTTCTTAGTAAAACTTGTAATATTTTTTTCTGTATTTGGGAAGTTCTTTAAGATCTTTGAGATTTATGGGATTTTCTGCAGAGTCCAGATTGGGCTGGGTGTGATATGGGAGAACAATTACTGTTATCTAACTCATAATATCCACTAAGATCGTAACACATCCTATGATCATCACTTATGATTTTTTTTAAGTAGCCAAAATCCAGGCCATTTGTGGAAGGACATCTGAGACTGTTTTATTATGTGACAGTCGGAACCAATAAGGAGTCCTTTGTATTCGGATTTGATGTTAAGAGTCAGGTAAACCAGAACTGATTTTGGCCTTTCATTTAAGACATTTACCTTATACAAAATCTTGCTTCTGGTATCAGTGAGATCTAGCCTGATGGGAATGTAATCAATATTAGGTGAAGGAGGGTCCAAATGTTGGTATCTAAGTCCCATCAAAAGAAACTCATCACAGTTCACTCTGATATTCTGAACAGTCTTCAGGTCTGAAACACAAATCTTGATCAGACAGTTTCACCCATCCTATGGTTTGAAATCAGTGTAAATAGGTCTGAGGAACAGAATCCAGGATTACTACATTATGAGCTCAGGGATATAGGTCTAAATCACAACACCAGCCTTTCTCATTTATCCATGGGATAGATCTCTCAACTGTTATCAGACACACTTCCATGGCAATTTTCACATAACCCTTCCAATATCTACAAACTTTGGCAAAACAAAGCTGGTCACAAGATATAAACAGCTATTTTCTATTCACGTTTCATGGTCTTTGAGCATTTGTACCATAATTATCAAAGAACCAAACCATACTCAAACCATATGCTATGTGATATACAGATAAACTCTCCCTTTATATTGACTTTGAAGTAAACTAGTAAAGTTCTGATCTGGGTAGTACACAGATTGAGAGGGTATGTAGTCTTATTATTTCTTAAACAGTTTGTGTTTCAAATTCTTATTCAAAGAGAATAAACTGCATGCTATCTAATTAATATAATGGTTGATTAAAGAAATAATATTAGAATAGCCCGCTCACTTGTAAGAACTTTAATTACAGAACTCTCCCCCCTCCAAAAAAAAAGATAGCCCAGAACTCACAGCATTAATTTTTAGGCAGCAGGGCATTTTTAAATTATCTGGCATTTGATGTTTTAATTAAAACAAAAAACAACTCTTTTGTACCTTCTCAATCTATTATCAAAATAAATGTTATCAATGAGTAAACTACTTTTTCCTCTTACAGTTCTTTCACTCTGAGCGGACTTAAACTGAATAACCTTTTTAATGGAGAACTGCTTTGAATAAAGGATTACCCTTGGACAGCTATAGTAAAAGTGGATATCCCCAGCTCACATACAGTCCTAAAAATCCAGTTGTGTGACCTAATGCAGGGCCTATGATGGTTCCAGACTTCATTAGGTGCTGAAATGCTGGGTGAAGAGAAAAAAAAAGCCTTTTTCATTTCTAAAAGAAAAGAAACTGTTGGTCGGTGTGTATGTGTGAAGAGCTCTGGGTTTGAAAGACAAACGTGGTTTGACTGGATGGCTAGGTAGATAAAGTGTACATGTGCATGCATGAGAGATATGTATGTATCTAAGTATATGCATGTGTATGTAAACATATGTAGCAGGGGTAAAATGCTACTGGTTTGGACTGGTTCATCCGAACCAGTAGTAAAAATGCTACTGGTTCACCTGAACTGGTAGTAAAGAAAGAAAACATTCTTTCTGACGATCAGCTGTGAAGCATGATTTATATTAGCTAAAAATCAGAATTTCCTGCTTTCTAGCTAATCTAAATCACATGGCATAGTGGATTCCCCACCCTCGCTTTTCGCTTACCTTACCTTTTTGACTCTCTGCGCATGCGCGAGAGTTCCTGCGCATGTGCAGAGGTGGCCTCAGTGAGTGAAGCAAGGGAACCATTAGCAAAGGTAAGTGGATTTCATCCCTGATATGTAGCCATTTGCATGCTGCAGACTCAAAAGACACAATCTGGCACTTAATGTGGCTTCTAGGGAAGCATTAACCAGAGATATAATACCAAATTGGTCTCAATACTATGCAGATAGTATTGAGATAATCAATATTTTTAAAGCAGGACATACTGGTTGTATGGAAGGAACTCTGTGGCTGATCTCCTCTAGGTACTTCTTCTTTGTTTTTTCCAATAACAAGTTGCCCGTGGGCTGGCAGAAACGTCTCTAAAGAGTTCAAGCTTATAGTGCATTCCAAGTTTATCTTCCTGTTGTAGTCCAAAGTGATTATGTTCTTATTAATTATGTTAGACAGGCCATGAAATTCAGGGACTTCCAAAGCACTGGAACTCATCTTGACAATATTACAATCTGGTTCAAGTATCTTTACAAGAAGAGTGACTGTTTCGGTGAAAGTTTCAGTTTCTGTAAACCTGCAAAGGGTAGAGAAACCATGCAATCAGAATTCAGGAAGCAATAGTGAAATACCTATACGAGAGGTGAAATGTACCACAGCTAATGATTGATCAATAGTGACAACAGCCAACTAAAAGGTTGATCAAATCATGAAAATAAATTAAATGAAAAACCTAGAACATAGGAGGAGAAACTAGATTTCTTATTAAATAATATTAATTTTTCTTATTAACTCTACGGAAGGATGGAAATATATTTCATATACTCATGACTCATATGCTAGTCAGGTGTTGCTTACCTATAAAGCCTTAGTATGACAAAGTCTTCATCAAGAATTGGGCATCCGTTGTGAGTGTACTTGACTTCATTCGGAAGAAAATGGCAGTCAAACACCTGTTACATAAAGAATATATTTAGAGAGGGAACGTAGTATTATAGACATTTCTCTTTTATCATTATGCATTCATAACTTGAAAAGGATGTATTGCAACACAGATGAGATTTTCACAATTAAATCATGCATGATAAAGATAGGACCCTAGCAATGTAATTGAGCTACGAAAATGAATAATGATTTCACTGTATTATTTAGAAAGTTTCAAAATTGAAACTTCAGTAACTGATAATTGTGGAATGACTCTGTAGATTACTGCTTTTGTTTTGTCACATAATATTTTTTCTCCTGAATTGAGTTATTTCTCCTTCATGGTCAGATTATCCCAACCTAATTTGAAGTCAAGTATTTTAAAAATCACTTATTCATGTTTTAGGAAAATCCATCAATCCTCTAGTAAGTTCCATGTTAGAGGAGAAAGAGACATGTTTTAAACTGTGAGGAAGAAAAGGGAGTGTGGCTCCCCACTAAATCTGTGAACATTTTTGAAGTAACTGTTTGTCCCCTTTATAATTTATAAACACCTTGGAGAAGATAAGTTATCATTCCTTATATCACAGTAGAGAGCCATTTTGGTGTAGTAGTTAAGGCACAAGCCTAGAACCTCAGTGAACATGAGTTTTAGTTCAGCTACAGAGCCAGCTTGCTGACATTTGGCCAATCACTTTCTCTCGGCCTTAGTTAAAGGTAAAGATTCCCCTCGCACATATGTCCTAGTCGTTGCCGATTCTAAGGGACAGTGCTCATCTATGTTTCAAAGCCGAAGAGCCAGCGCTGTCCAAAGACATCTCTGTGGTCATGTGGCTAGTGTGACTAAATGCCAAAGGCACACGTAACACTGTTACCTTCCCACCAAAGGTGGTCCCTATTTTTCTACTTGCCATTTTTTACGTGCTTTTGAACAGCTAGTTTGGCAGACGCTGGGACAAGTAACGGGAGCTCACCCCATTATGCGGCACCAGAGATTCGAAACTGATCAAAAAGCTCAGCATCTTAGCCACTGAGCTATTAGCAATAGCAATAGCAGTTAGACTTATATACCGCTTCATAGGGCTTTCAGCCCTCTCTAAGCGATTTACAGAGTCAGCATATTGCCCCCAACAACAATCCGGGTCCTCATTTTACCCACCTCAGAAGGATGGAAGGCTGAGTCAACCCTGAGCCGGTGAGATTTGAACATCCGTTTTCTTTCTTTCTTTCTTTCTTCCTTTCTTTCTTTCTTTCTTTCTTTCTTTCTT